AAGATTTCAAGACTTCACGACTACGTCCCCTAACCCCCCCCCCCCCCCAACCCCCCCAAAAAAAACAGAGAGAGAGAAGCTTCATACCTACAAAATTGAATATCTAATGAACAATGTCCTCCTTGCAATATTCAATCCTTGACAACAGAGACTAATAATGTAATACCCACGTACGAGAAAATCCAAAGATAAAAACAAACGCATAAAAATGAAAAAATAAAAAAGCTTTCCACATGCAACTTACATCCCATGTACATTGGATGTGAAGTTTGAGCCATTACTAGCAGGCACTGTTCCTTTAAGCTTGTTTCTGTCCAGCCGAAGTTCTTGAAGGTATTTCAGATTACCAAGCTCATAGGGCAATTTACCTGTTAATCCGTTGGATTGAAGGTTTCTGCAGAGGCATAAGCAAATTTGAGGAGATAAATGAGCTTAACGGAAGTCAAAAAGGAACTCCACATTTGACAAGAAATACTCAAACTGCACCAACATTTTCATAATATTTGACAAGTTGCCAAGCTCGAGAGGAATTGGTCCTGTAAGCTGGTTAGAACCCAAATCCAAGACCTTTAAGTTTTTCAACAAGCCTATCTCTCTTGGTATTGTACCAATCAGTACATTTCCATGCAAAATCCTGCATATCACCAAAACATAGCATTGAGGCTTTACCAAATATTTTCGACCACCGGATTTAAATATTACTACTACAAGTTTTCCATGTAAAAGAGAGCTTACAGTTCTTGCAAAGAAGAGATTAGATGCAAGTTCGGCGAAAGAAAACCCTTCAAAGAAGCACCAGAAATGTTACTGCAAAATTACAGCGACAATATAAGGCGTAAATGCATATTAGAGGCTCAATTGTGCTACTGTTATGTATCAAAAAAATAATCAAGTAAATTACATCCCATTGACAAAAATCAATAACCCAATAAACACATAGAAATGCTCACATTTTTAAGACATGATCTCGGGCCATAGAGCAAAAAATACCAGACCAGTCACAAGGATCTGAATCTAAGGCATTCCAATTTGAGAATACCAAAAATGGGTCTTCATATATAGCTTCCCTGAAGTTATTTAGAGCATAAACTGTGCAAAAAAAAACAATATCATCAATGCAGTATCTCACACAATAAAAAAAAAGATCTTTATTGAACAACAACATATAACTAACTCCCTACATTGTCCTTAATTATATAATTTAACTTCACAAACCAATCAAATCAAGATCTAAGTATAGAATATCATCAAGTTGAAGTTGATGGTACATACCTTCATTTAATGGAAAAGAAGCATCACATGTCATCGAAAACATTGGCCCAACAGTAACTAAAACTACAAATAAAACCCAATTTCTCATATTTTTTTCTTTTCTTGTGGCAGTCCCCAGAAACACAATAAAGATCAATGCTTTACACAAATCCAGAACTAAAAGAAGCCATCAGAATAACAGTTCTAGACAGAAACAAAAAAAGATAGCCTGAAAGCAAAAGCAAACAGAAAATTACCCAAGTTGGAGAAATGGGTTTATCAAGAAAGAGGAAAAGAGAAAGTATAGGAGCAGCCCAAGAAGGTGATTTTAATAACAGATGACAACGAAGAGACACAAAAAGACAAGTTTTTTAGCTTAAGGATGAATTCAAGATTGTAATGTGTAACAACCCAAGAAAGGAAAGTAGTGGAAATCAGAGAATGAAGTTGAAAGAAAACTACTCTCTAGTGTAGGACAACTAGCAAGTAGAAGAAGACTTGGGCTCAAAGAGAGGTTTGGTGTCAGAAACAGAGACAGTTCATAAGCACAAGAAAAAATATTATGAAAGTAAAAAGAAATCAGACTGAAATGCAGATGCAGAGAGTGAGAGAGAGCGCGCGCGCGGCTGGGGAAAGGAAGTGGTAAAGATACAGAGGAATGTGGGTAATGATTGATGAATGAACTTAATTTCCATTTCTCATATCTCACTAACTAATAGAAATTGGCTATAAAAGTCACTTACTTTGTTTTATAACTAAAAAATTATTATATTGTAACTCAAAAGTCACTCTATCACTTTTAGGGTATTATTAACATTATTTTTCATATTTTTTTTCAGCCCGACCATTTAAAAAATCAAATATCCGTTTAAACCATGACTCGTTCCATGTCCCGACCCATTTTCTCTTATTTCTATTATAAAAGCATAAATATTACTTTGCTATAGTGTATTATATTGGTTCTCAATATAGTTATACTAGATATATACATTGGTTTAAGCAAAGTATTAAATAGAGAATAAGAAATTAATTAACAAACTAGAGGAGTTAAATTTAAAAGTGAAACAAGATAATTAGCAGCATTGAAGTGGAAGAAAGTAAAAAGGATGAAGGAAAAATAAAAAAGTTATTTATGCTTGAAATTTTGACCGAAAAATATTAATATAAGAATAAATTAAAAGATAATATTCTCGATGTTTTAGAACAAGAACCGCATTGCTTATAGTAAAGATAATGTTACTAGAAGACCATTTCTAGTCGAACTGCTTTAATACTTTGCTTAAACCAGTATGTTGAAAACCAAGATAATTAACAGCAAACTAATATTTACGTTTTCTGTAAGAAAAATAAAGAAAGTGGGTTGGGTCAAAGAGCGGATTGAGTCACGGTTTAAATGGATTTTTTTTTTATTGTTTAAATGATAGAGTTGACAAGAGTGGGTTGCTTTAGTGGTGAGCACCTTCCACTTCCAACCAAGAGGTTGTGAGTTTGAGTCAACCCAAGAGCAAGGTGGGGAGTTCTTGGAGGAGAGATGCCGAGGGTCTATCGAAAACAGCCTCTCTACCCCAGGGTAGGGGTAAGGTCCAGCGTATCCCACTGGTGGGATTATATTGGGTTGTTGTTGTTGTTGTTTGAATAATTGAGTTTAAAAGAATATGAAAAATAATATTTAGTATGCCTGGGTAAGGTCCTGCGTATCCCACTGGTGGGATTATATTGGGTTGTTGTTGTTGTTGTTGTTTGAATTAACTGAGTTTAAAAAATATGAAAAATAATATTTAATATACCTTAAATGTGTTGAGTGACTTTTGAGTTACAATGTGCAAAGTATGATAACTTTTCGGTTACAAAACAAAGTAAAATTACTTTCATATAATTTCTATTAATTCGGTAACCTTCTGAGAAATGAACTCTTTCTGCAACTTAAATTTGCTGTATTTTTATTTTTCTTGAACATGTTGTTTTCAAATTTATGGTTCTTTATTCTTTATGAATAGTTAACTTTCAAAAAATAGTAAGACGGGGCATATAATCAGTTAAACATTGTCACCATACGCAACTTAATTTTCTTTAAATGAAAAACTACTATTCTTGTACAAGTATTTCTATTTACAGCTAATTCATCCTTAGATAATTCAGCTTGTTTGAATGGTTGTTACATATCGTTTTATAATGTATCATATTGCATTGTATTGTATTGTTTGATAAATACAATGTTTGGATAAAATGTATCTTTTGCCGTCGTTTCATGATATCATGCACAAAAAATATGAAGAATAAACTTGCAACATTACTAAGAAAAAATAGGATACGAAATAGAATTATTATATAAAAAAAAGTAGGTTAAAGGATAACATATGTATTTAATAATAAAGAAGGACAAAATGAGAGGAAAAAATGTGAAGTAACGACGCTACCACACCAAATCCTTCGTCACATAAAGTGACATTTTTCGTCGTTACGTAACGACGGATTTAACGATACGATACAATAAAATTTAAATACAATCAAAATAAACATTGTATTTAAAGTAACAATACGATACAATACAAAAGGTAACAACCATCCAAACAATCTTGAATAATCTTGGGATAAGAATGATTAGATCTATAAATGAATATGCTATTAAATTCAAGTTCCAAACTGCAAAAACTAATTTTATGTCTTTAGTTAAATATTTAATCACTTTATACAATATAAAAATTGCTATTTATCATATTTTATTGTTCAGACATTTCTACTGAACTATCAATCCAAAACTACTAGTATTTAGCTTTAATACTATTAATTTATTTTCAAAAGGCATTTTTTCTTGATAAAAGAATGAGTATAAGAAGTTCACCTTTTACCATATACTCCCTCCATTTTAGTTTATGTATCAGTATTTTCTTTTTTGTTCCAAAATGATTGAGTGTGCTTTAAATTAATTTAACCTAATAATTTTATTTTAGTTCTAATAAGAAATTTTTATAAGAACAAAAATATTATATATGAATGGTTAAGATTACATATTTCAAACAATTTATAATCACATAAATATTAGAACATACGATCACAAACTTTTAAATTTTTCGTTTAAACTTTATATTTATTCAAACTTTACAATATCTCCTTTGACTATGAGCTTGAGATGTTATGAAAAGGCAGTCAAAACCAACAGCCACTACGTACCTACTAAGACATCCATTATTGGAAAGAGAAGAACAAAAAAGACATAAAATCATTTCAAATTTATATACCTCTAATAAAGTTAACTTCGTTCAAATTGGAGTAGCATTTACTATAGGATTATGTTATAGTGACATTCTATAGATTAAGGCCAGCCATATTTTATTTTTCAATACAAATAAATGAAGTCTAGATTAAATTGTCGACAGAGGACAGGGGAATTGTTTATAATATTGAGGGTCCTCCTTGACAGTGCTTTCAAGCAAGACAATACCAAAAAGGGGCATTTCTATATTACCTTAAAAATAAAGAAAAGAAAAATTCAAATGGATTATTTGAAGTCGCAAAAATTTATCTACACTAAATTAAGCAATTTAATCTTAAAAATAACAATTGCAGGGACGACACAAATTATTTAATCATGATTATAAAGAAAACTTTATAAGATAGATATTTTATCATTATTTCGGTGTAAACATTTAGACATATTTTTAAATTAACCATAAAAAAAAAATTAAAGGAATTGGGACTATTTTGGTCTTTCATTTATGGCTTTGATAAAGACCAATATGTCTAGGTTGATTTCTTTTTTTAGGTAACTAATTATTTTACTAATCACCAGCACCAAGTAACAGTAAAATAGTACTAGTAAGAAACATGTCACTATATTCAACAGGCCACTGCTTAATTTTCGTAAAAATTGCACGGGGCGCCCTATTTGGTCGCCCCCATTTAACCTATACCTATTTTTTTAAAAGTTTTAACTTGTACCCACTTTTTAAACAACTTCAGCCCCCTTTCTCTTCCTCTTCTCCTCCTCAAAGTTTTATCTTTTCTTTTTCTAGAAGTAAGGTTCATGAAACTAGGCGGGGAGGTGAATTTCGTCAAAGAAGGGGACAAGTTCTCTGTCTTGGTGTACTCTTAAATGTTACCTTCTCTTGTTTTCTTTACAAGTTATCAATTCCTACTCCTTGAAAGTCTTTCTTTGCATCAAATACTTGAACAGTAGACATCAGATGCAATTTATGCATCATTAGATGAACAACCAAGAGCATGGACTACTGGAATATCACTGAGATGGAATTCCCAATAGTGGGAGGACTAGTTACCCCAACTGGACCAAAACAACATGACAGCATAAAACTTAAGAAACAGATAGTATGGAATATAAGCAGAGCTGAGGATAAACAAAAGGAGACGCGAAATGCCCCCTAGAGCTCTAGAGCTGAAGTTCGCTAGTTACAAAATAAAAACTTCAGCTCTAGAGCTGAAGTTCGCCAGTTACAAAAACAAAAACTTCGCTGAAGTTCGCCAGTTACAAAAACGAAAACTTCAGCTCTAGAGCTGAAGTTCGCCAGTTACAAAAACAAAAACTTCAGCAATTACAAACAAAAACTTCAGCAAAAATAGAGAACAAAACTTTAGCTACTATGCTTAAGTTCAGCAAATACAAACAAAAACTTCAGCACACTTGCTACTTCAGTCCCGTCTACTAGAATGCTGAAGTTTTGCGTGATTGCCTTTGCTACTTCAGCCCCGTATGCTGAAGTTACGCGAAAAAGTGGATACGCTTGCAATTTTTTTTGCAAAGCGAGCACAAGTTAAAACGTAACCCAAAAAACGGGTATAGATGCAAATCCCCTTAATTTCTCCACTGACTTTAGTTTAAGAAGTAACTAAATATAAAATTGAAAAAAATAGGGATTTTTTCCTATCTATACCATATATGAAACTTTATTACCAAAAATGTGCATAGTATGTAAATTATCCCCCCCCCCCCCAGTCCACGTTTTACCTATAATTTTTGTACCATTCGTCTATTAGGTATTAAAAGGGCAGAATATTCCCTAAAAAACGCGCTAAAATTAAGGAGAGAATCTTGGTATTAATTGATTCTGCATTAAATTCAATTTTAAGGGTATAAAGTTGTACCAGATATAATGCTGTACTTTTTGGGTTCCTTACAGATATAATAGGTTCGCGGTCCAGCATTTGTGTTTTTTGTGTCTGCACCATACAATCTTAGTATCGTGCTTCATTAATCTAAAAGCAAAGTTCAGTTAAATGAATATCTGTCTGCAACAGTAAGATGATGGTTGTGTGAGTTTTCTACCTTTATTTCAGGGTGGCTTTGAGTCTTTTTGAAATACATTCTGCAACTATATCAAAAGTAGTGTTAATGATGAACCTTTCGGATTCCATCACTATCGTCTTCTATGGTTAAGCTTTCATTTGACCTTGCACATTGGCTATATTTACAGAATACTTATTCTTTACTTATCCTTGGATCTTACCAGATCTTTGGTTTAGTGGCTCCTTAGTACTATGCCCTTGTAAACTACAAATCAGTTTTAGTATTGTATAAAGTTATACTGTTTTTAAGGGTATCTACAAAGTTACTACATTTATACTACAATTAAACTATAATCTATGTTAAAACAAAATGTTGACTACAAAATTTTCTCTTCATCTACAAAATTTCTTCCAAAAATTACAAATAAACTACAAATCAGTTTAAGTATTGTATAAA